CAATGCTTAACTAGGAAAAAAGAATTGTCTTGAACATTATGCTCTTTTGAGAATTAGCAATACAGAATCAAAATGACAAAAACAACTTCTGAGGTTTAGCAGAAACCTTACAGATCTGTGAATTTATGTTAATGAGGGAGGAAACACTCATAAAGAAGAATGGCTGCATAACTCAAAGAATGTAACTGATGTCATCAAATTGTACACAGAAAAATGGCTGAACTGGTGTTTGCTTTCCTGTGTATATTCTCTGCAACAACAAAATTAATCCCAATGGCTGACCAGTGACAGCAAGAGACTCAAATGCCTGAACTGTACAGTCATGGTAAGGCCTCCCTCCATGTCCTGTGATCTAAGATGACAGCCCTTCATTGTCCCTTCTGAGGATACCCTTGTCTGCCATGAGTGGAAACCTTATATCTAACTCCTCCATATACCTGAACACCTAAAGGTTTCTTCATTCATCCCTTAGTTCTCTTTCCAAAGGACATTCTTCTTTCTCTAGTGAGAAAAGTACAAACTGTGGTATAAAGTCATTTTGAGTCACCGAAAAGTCATTTTGAGTCACCGAAAAGTAGAGGCTAAGTATTTAAGTGTTCACTTTTCTGCAGCTGCCTATACTCTCTCTGTTCCTGTGTCAAGCAAGGCACTTCCATGTGCTCAGACCCATGGGAAAGCAGAGGACAAGGAGGAGAAATGGCCATCTGCTTCCATAACAATGACCACCTTGGAAACCCCATGGGGCATTTCCCCTTGGTCCTACTGTTAAGTGCCTTCAAGTTCAGTAAGACCACAGCAACAACAATATGAACAAAAGGCCTGAACCGTGTCCTATCCTTCACCATCTGCATCTTCTCTGACATAGTCAAAGCCACTGCTGCCAACACTGCTTCAGTCCAACTCGCTGAGGGTCTTACTCTCTTCTGCTGACCCTCCAAGCATGACATCTCTTCCCAAGGAACAGACTTTCCTAGCAACATGTCCAAAGTCTGAGAGACAAAACTTGGTCTTAAAGTCAGAATCAACTCAATGCTAATTGGTTGTTTTGACTTTTAAAATCTAACTTCTAAAAGAAAAAGAGAGTGCAGCAGAAAAGTACCAAGAATGACCTGTGGAAAAGATGATCCTTCTCAGCATGGGTTAAAACTTAACCAACAGTGAGATGCTGCCAGAGGTACCTCAGAAGAGCACAGTTTGGACTATGCCTGTCTTTCTCTTAGCACTGTAATTACAGGACTTCCCACATTATTTTATAAGGAAAGTTTTTATTTGCAAGTCTCTTGTTGTGGAGGAGTAAGGAAGCGTGGTGGGCAGCAACATTGAATATATTGGTCATTGCTATAACTGGGAAATTGTCTTTCATCTGCTCTTTTCTATGGAATGCTTGTCTGTCAGATATTATTATATATATTTAAAGATTGAGACAGACTAGGAAGAAGGATTGGCCATCCACTTCCAAAAAAAACTGGGCTTCAAAAACCCTGTGTACAATAGAGCACACTTAGACTATCGCTTGGACTAGCAGACATGGCAATTGAGACTGAGATCTTAGAAATGGAAATATAGAAGGAACAACTGTAAGCAGGGACTAGTGATTGGAACATGGAACGTGAGAAGCATGAATGTAGGAAAACTGGACATTGTTAAGAAAGAAACGGAACACATAAATACTGACATACTAGGTATTGGTGAAATGAGATGGCTTGGCATAGGACATTTTGAATCAGACGATTATATGATTTACTATACCGGGGATGAAAAGGTGAGGAAGAATGGGGTTGGTTTCATAATTAAAAAAGTCATTTCTAGATACATCCTGAAATACAATGTGGTGAGCGACAGGATCATTATGCATACAAGGAAGTCCAGTGAATACTACTATCATTCAAATATATGCACCAACAACTAGAGCCAAAGAGGAGGAAATAGAAGATTTCGACCAGCTTTTGCAGTCAGAAGTTGATCAAACATGCAATCAAGATGCACTGATAATAATGGGCGACTGGAATGCAAAAGTTGGGAACAGGGAAGAAGGATCAGTAGATGGAAAATACCGGCTTGGTGAGAGAAATAAGGCCAGAGATACAATGATAAGAGTTCTGCACATTCAATGATTTATTCATTGCAAATACCTTCTATAAGAAACATAAACGCAGGCTGTACACATGGATCTCACCTGATGGCATGCATAGGAATCAAATAGATTACATTTGTGGAAAGACTCAGTGGAGAAGCTCAATATCAGCAGTGAAAA